TACGTTACGGAATCGAAATTGCCGTTACGTGGCATTACGTCTCGTTTCCTGGGCAACGTGCGATCGAAAGCGTTCTCGGCGAGTTTTCGTCACGCCAACGAAAACCGGCACGCCGATGTCGCCTCGGTCATCCCCGTCGCCTGTCCGTTTGGCGAAACGTTTCCGACTAACGGCGCTGGTGTTGGTGACGTCGCGCTACCGCGCCGCTAACGCGCATGCGCAACGACGCATGTGCCGCGTGCTGTAGACAGTGATATTATCGATTACCGTCCTTTCCTTTTATCGATCGGGGATAACGATGTATTTACGGATTCGAAGCAGAGTCGGTACGTCAGAGTTCAATGTTTAATTCTTTTGCGGTTTCACGTCCAACAGACTCGACAATAATATTTTCAAATTTATGCGTAGTAGTAAGATTATCGGTAACAGAAATACGAAAACACCAACATTATTTCAAGTTTTGTCATGTGCAGAGTTGCTTTTTTTTTTCATTATAAAAAATATAATATTTTTAAATATTTAAAGCGCGTATAAAAGAATAATTCGCGACGAATTTTCCACGAGGACATTAAAATTAAAGTTTATGAATAATTTTCTTGCGCATCGCAAAGTTGAAAGTCTTTTTTTTATTGTGATACGAAGTTGCATCTGTAGTTGCGCGAAGTAACTTTACATAACGATACATTTTCATGCAAATCCTTCGCGGTTCCGTAGAATGTAGAACCATCGGAATTGACTAAATGACGATCGCCATTATTCTCGCGAGAGTTTCGCCCGAGAGGAGTTCGAGTGCTGAAAAAGGATAGCTAAGGGATAAGAGCGCGATAGGTTGACAGTATCCATTGTCGCATTGCATCGCATCACATGGTAGAGGTTGAAAGCTTTCCAACTGACGACCACTTTGCGTCAATGATGGATTCAGCAAATGCGAAACCACGAGAGCGCGAACAATATATAACGGATAAGGAAAATTGTTCTTTAATTATTCGAGGTGTGTACAAAATGATTTAAGAGTGTCGTTGTTTATAGTTATAATATGAATAAATAGAATATAAACAAGTAGAATATATTTGAGATGCAAGTAATTCAGAACAATAAGTTCGTAATAGAAACGTATAAGAATTTAAATAAATATATGATATTTGCGCGAAAATCCATCGTAATGTTTTTTACGAATGTTTTTCTTTTAGCGACTCTTCATTTTTGCATCAAACGCAGACTCTAAAACATGCTGTGACTGTCTCGCGTATTGCATTGTTCCGTATGCATCGAGCTATTCCATTTGCGTGGGTGACGCGGATGGAGAAAAACATCCGAGAGTATCATGGAAACTGACCGGAGGCGGCGACGGCAGCAAATACCGCACAAAGCGCACGCCCCGTTGTTCATGAAAAATGAGAAAGAAGAGATTAAAGTACCTGCAGAGAGACGGGGAGAAGAGAGAGATATCCTTTCCGAGAGAGAAATACAACGATCCTTTTTGCGGGCGAATCTAACTGGAAAAGCGCGTACTTTAATAATAATTACGTTAAAATTTTTATGACGAACACATATATTTCGCCTCGGTTGTCTTCTATGTGAAATGTAAAGTGATATAAATCCGAGTCGGAAAGAGTAAATTCCAGAATAGAGTAAATCTTTAATCTTGCATTTAACATCCCTTTATCTTAAGACTTTCCTTATTTTCAATCCACTCGGAAAATGCCACAACGTTAAAAAAGGAAAAAAGAAAAAAAACTTTAACACAAGAGTTTTGCTAGATAAAGATCTGTTATGAAATTAAACACGAAAATTCGATGAAACTGATTTGTATGTATCGCATAGTGCTCGAAACGGAATGTTGTTGATGGACGAGACATGAACCGCATCGAAGGGAATTGAGGGACGTGAGCGCAAAAAATCATGAGAGAAAAATAAAAGCAGTCTGCGGACCGATCATCTTTTTCGAGAGATGCAGACCACGCCATGCGCGTATCGTTAATTAAAATCTGTCGTCAGCGATGCACGTTACGAAAACGCGCTGACACGATAGGCCGGGCAAGGCCAGAAGAGGAATGGGATGAAAAATCGCGTTAACGAGGAGGAGATGGTGCTTTCGTTATTGACTCGGTGTGCTGCGATACAAAGAACTATCGTTATTGAGACCGTACCTGTCTTTCACAGGAGATGCTGCGCACAGAGCTCCATTCCTCTTTTAATGAAGCTCTTTCCGTGTCGTATCGATATGTCGTTTAATCGCGCAAAACATTCTCTTTATAATAGACTAGTTTCAAATCGCATACGTTATGTGAGCGGAATATGTGCGATATATGCATTGATCATTCATCAATGGATTAATTCTATTGTGCGTAAAATGGTCCATACCTTTGACATGTAGAAAACAGTACATAAATTTATTTCCTTTTAATCTAGATCGCGTAAAGTTTTCTATATCTCAATGTAATTTAAGATTTCTTTCACTGTGCTTCACAGTTTACTAAAATATGGAAGACTTGCTAAAGTTTCTCCTTTATTGCGATTACATATTCATATCTGAAAAAATGTTCAATGATGATCAATATTTTAAAAAAGAATTACTACAACTTTTACAGGAAAATATACTTTTGATAATATATTTACCAGGATCATTCTGCACACATATTCATATATGCCATCGCTCACCGCGATCCAGTTGGACGACTATCTCAGGGATTAAGATCTATGAACAGTGACGCGGATATTGACAGTTCACGTTTATTCTGGCTCGATTGTAACGAGTACCGCTCGCAATTCGTAACAGCTGCAAATGTCAGATGTGAGGTACACGTCGCCGAGATGAGAGAGAAGTGTTCGAAGTCACGCACACCTGCCGCGTTTAATTCCCGTAATTTATATTGTGTCTCGTCATATACCCTGGTTAACGACCAACCTGTCAATCCATATAGTGAGTGATTTCTGTTTCATCAATTTACTTACAATTAGTTTCATCACAAAAATCTCGTATTTGAAAAGCAGAAAGAAGCACATTCAATATGTATATATTATTGGTCTCGATTATAATTAAATTCTCATAAACAGAAGAAACAAGTTCTATATAATAATTAATATTCTTCCAAATAAAAATTATGAAAACAAACTAGGATGTTATTTCATAAATTATGTGTCACTCATTGCTTATTTTACTTATTTAAAAAAAAAAAAAGTTAAAAATAAATATCTCGATTTATATCGCTTCGCTTCTCAAAAATTATTATCGAATATATTTTCAGTCATTATAAATTTCCTATGTGTATGTATTATTTAATATACTTTCAAGAAAAGAGATTCTTACATTAATTTTCCTGACTCGTTCGTAAAAAAGTTGACGTATGTCTCTTTTACAGTGACCGATGCACTTCTGCCGCGACTTCTTCAACGACGTTGGAAACGTCGTGTCGTTCAGATAGATCTCCTCGTCGTTTGTATTGAGAAAAAGTCTTTCGTCTCGACTATATACATTAAATGAGAGAAGGAATCGACGGGAAAGCGTCTGCTTCTCGGAGATTCGTAACTCGAGATAAGTCGTTGAAAGGACATCTCTCGCCGTTGTGTGACATTGAGGACAATGGTGTCGCCAGGTATCGGAAACGTCTCTGTCGTTCACCACAGTTGATATCACGATAGCGTAGCACGTTCCAATTGTAATTGGACAGCGATTTGCGATGAACGTGCCTCGTCTCTCTCCCTTTCTCAAAGATAAGAAATTACATCTTGTCTTTCCTGCGCATCAATTATTATACTAGGAAGCATAGAATGAAAAATTGTCTGTAGCGTATTTAGCATATATTTGTTTTGAACTTTATTTATTTATAATTATACGATCCCGCGAAATACCCGTAACATTAATTGAAAAACTAAGAGAATCACAGACGCGATAATTTTCTTTAACTGATTTAATTATGCGAGAGATAAATCTTAGCAGCGTTAACTTAATACAATTTTACAGAGAACTGTTTATCTAAAACGTGAATTAATTGTATTGTCTCTGTTATGCATTTTATTTTCGCCGTTAGATCGTATACAAGATGTATATATCTTTATCTGTGCATTTTTTAATCAATTTAAAACTTTACTTTTGCTTACATGAATGTCAAAAATAATTTTTAATTTATAGTTTTGTATGAACAAATTTGAAAAATTAAGATGGGAAAAGGGGAGAAATATAAAGCGCAAAAAATTTACTTTAGAAAAAATAACATGGATTATTCCCCTGCATAAAGTATTATATAAAAAGTCATACCAGATTAGCGAGTACAATGCGAGCGTATCTATGGAAGCCTGTTTGCGAATTCCACTCTATTTAGAGACTGATTCAGCTAAAATTTGCGTGTCGTGGCACTTTACATGTTGCATGTAGCTAACGTTACGCGAATTGTGCAAAGAGAGGTCTGCTGAATAATCTAGGAGGCTTCAACTACCTAATAAATTATTTCGCGCCATTAGATCCTGTGCAAGTTGTTCGATTGAATTTAGACTTAATCCCTTTGTATAGTTGTAAACGGCAGCGATATCGGATAATACCGGTGATTTTCGATTCCATCGCCTGTTTGATTGCCCACATTAATAAACTGAATAATTTAACAAATGTCTGGTCAATGTGAGTCCATTCTGTCGAATTAATAAATCGTATTAATTATAAGTGTCGTTAGGATTTTATTAAGAAGTTATTAAAATAAATTTTAATTTTTGAATTGTTAACAATTGTCTTTATTATTTCTAATATAATTAGAAGTATTTTTGAATTCCCGCTTTCATACATATGAGTTTAATTACATCTGTGATAAATTTATATGACACATAATTACATTTAATAATTTTGCCTCTTTCTTTCTTTCTCTATGTGCTCTTTTATGTGCTTTATTGTATTTTCATTCGCGATAATGAGCTATGTTCTACTTTGAATTTAGAGGAAACGAGAGAGGAGAGATAAAAAGATTGACCGCGCAACGTTTTTCAAACTAATTGCAAATATTTTCTTTTAGAAACGTAGAGGATTACGCGAGGGAGCACGAAGAGGCATCCAGGAATATCCAGCAATACCTATCGAATCCCATAAACGCTTATCTGCTGGTCAAACGGTTAACTACTGACTGGAAGAAGGTCGAGGAACTGATAACCGAAGACGTCGGCAAGTCCTTCGTAGCAAACATCACGAATTCCAGGAGTGATCTAAAATTCCCGACCGACGAAGACCTCAATGGTGCTGCAGTCGCTTTGATGAGGCTACAGGACACATATAAGCTCGAAACCGCGCAAGTTGCGCGAGGCGTTCTAAACGGGGTGCAATACAGCACCGGTCTGACCGGTATGTATAATATTTTTTTTCATAAATTAAATTATTATTAATTTATTTTCACAAAGACATCCTGGAATCTTTATAATGGCAAATGCTCTTTTAAATCAGAAACAAATGTATAATGATTTATATTAAAAAAATGATTAATTACTTATAGAGATGTGATTTTTCTAAAGGTCAGAAACTTTATTTTCTCTAACTATTTACGAACTATCGTAACAATCTCGTGAAGAATTGCAAATTCGATATAACGACAAATCTGATGCTAGAAAGAAGAGGGTGGTGGTTCACGCGACACAAAGAATCTCATTTAAAGTCTTATCATTCGCATAAGAATAAATTATGTAACGCACTGTTCTTAACGATATGAAAAAAGTATATAATAGGCCGAAGTTTTGCGATGCAAATTGGTAGGTAAAAAAGTAGCGATTTACGAAAGGAAATAGGAATTAATTAACGGACTAACTTTTCCAGCATCAGTATGCCGCGTGCTTTTTGTTGCAAATAGAAAGAAATCCAATAGAACGCACTTTGAACGTAATGCCTCGTAAACACTTTGTGTGTATAAAGCGTTTAATGAAATATAAGATTTATAAAAATATATATATGTTCTATATTTTTTATTTGAAACTATTTTTCCTTTTTATATTGCATTATATTTTCTTTTACATTCGATAATTCTATGTTTTTCAGCAAGCGATTGCTTCGAGCTGGGTCGACAATCTTATCACAATCGCGATTATTATCACACGGTGTTATGGATGCAGGAGGCTATGGATCGTCTGCAGGAGGAGCAAAACGCTACCACCACTTCCAAGCCCGACATCTTGGAATATCTGGCATTTTCGACGTACATGCAAGGTTCTGACAGTAAATTATGGATGCATGTCGATGTATTATATGGCGCGGAAAAATTTCTAAAGAGACATTCTACTCGTTTACCTTTCTAGTATCATATATGTTATTCCGTCTTTATCATCGTTCCAGGTAATGTCGCCCGCGCTTTGAGTATGACAAACGAGCTGTTGGAATTGGTCCCGACCCACGAGAGAGCATTGGGAAACCGCGCGTATTATCAAAAGGAGATTCAAAGCAAGGCCAGCCAGTCGAAGAAGAAACGAGGTGAGGATGGGCAAGATGACACAGCGATACCTGAACAGGTAAAGTTCAACAAGAGATATCAGGATCAAAAAGCCGCTTTATTAATAGGAATTAGATATTGAAAATCAACAATTTTTTAAAATAACTAGAATAAACAATTTTATTTGGGATTTACATTTTTTTAATCAATCACTGATTTTTTTTATTATAATCATATTGAATTTACTGTAACAAACTAGCTTATCACGATTAGTACGAAAGATATCCATTAAACAACGGAGAACTTCTCGTCGATCATTACTTTTGGAGATGCGAAAAGAGCTCTAAGAGGTAAATCCCATTTGCGCGAGCGTTCGTAAAGTTTGTTATCGGGCTTGCAGAACTTCACTGTCGCCGAGGAAAGGGTGAAAACGTGGGAGGAAATGACGGAGAGGGAGAGGTACGAAATGCTTTGTCGTGGCGAAGTATCTATTCCACTAGAAGTGGAGAAGAATCTCAAGTGCCGTTACGTTGACCGTGGAATTCCATTTCTGAAAATCGCGCCGTTCAAGGAGGAGGAAGCGTATCTAGATCCGAGGATAGTTGTTTATCACAACGTAATCTACGACGAAGAAATTGAGACGATCAAACGAATGGCTCAACCTAGGGTGAATAGCTTGATTACAAAGCATGCGAAAATTATCACTGTTGAAACGAGCATGTATTACTAGTGCGATGAAATTGTAAGAATTTTTTTCGAATAATACGGCGTAATTACGTCTGTTACAGTTTAAGCGCGCCACGGTACAAAATTACAAGACTGGTGCCTTAGAGATAGCGAATTATAGAATCAGCAAAAGCGCGTGGCTTCAAGAACACGAGCATAAGCACGTAGCAGCAGTAAGCAAACGCGTAGAACATATGACGAGTATGTCTATTGAGACTGCCGAGGAACTTCAAGTTGTCAATTATGGAATCGGCGGTCACTACGAGCCGCATTTCGATTTTGCCAGGGTAAGTTGATCTCGTCGAAAAATAATCGCGGCACTGTCTATCTCTGTGCGTAGTGTCGTGATAAATTAATAATTCGATTTTCAATTTTACATATACAGAAAGAAGAGACGAATGCGTTCAAGAGTCTTGGGACGGGCAATAGAATCGCAACGGTTTTATACTATGTAAGTCGTCTAATTCTGCGATTTATTTCGAGTTGACGAACACGAAATGATGCGTAACGTTATCTCATTATTTTAACAGATGAGCGATGTCGAGCAAGGAGGGGGTACCGTATTCACCGCCATCAATATATCGCTTTGGCCGAGGAAAGGTAGCGCAGCGTTTTGGTATAATCTTAAGCCTAACGGCGAGGGAGATTTCAAAACCAGACACGCGGCTTGTCCAGTACTTACGGGATCTAAATGGGGTATGTCGTTGAAATATCGTTTATTGTGTGCTTCTCGAATCGTGATTAATTATTTTGTTTTATTTTATATATTTATGTGAATTACATATATATTATTTTTTAAATTAAATTCTTTTATTATTTTTAAATTACATTATTACTCTAATATCGATATGTTTTTATAAATATTTAAATAGTTTATGAATAAATACATTATATTAAAAGAGCACAATTAAATGTATTGTTTATTATTTTCTAATTTATATTTATTACTTACAGTGGCAAACAAATGGCTGCATGAAAGAGGTCAAGAATTTCATAGACCTTGCACACTGGAAAATCAAGCGACGGATGAAGTGGACGTCAGGCACTGAAGAAAAGGACGTCCTTCGACTGTAACAGAAAATACGTAAAAAAGCGCGTGTACTAAGAAATACTTCCGAATTTCTGCTCTGAACAAAGAGACATTTTACTCTCGAAATGGTTACACTCCGTAAGAAAGCACGTGATACGAACCGTCATTTAAGAACAAACAAGACGTGCAAAAACTGTCAGCGCAATTTCACATAGGGTAAATGAAATCGCTGCTCACGTTTTTACGAAAACATCAATGGCACAATTTACGTAATTTAATGTTTATACATCGCAGACAATGATCTTTCTTGCTAGTTTATTGTGGAACGCGATTCCTCGCATTACGACAGCGATTAATGTTTCCTTAATCTTTGAAATATTTAGGTGAAAGAAAAAATTTGTGAAAAGCAACGGAGATTTTGTCCAAACAGAATTAATTGCAACCGTTTTGTTTCTTGTGCGCTTTTCCCTTTGAAGAAATGATGCGTAACGTTTCATTATTTTAACAGATGAGCGATGTCGAGCAAGGAGGGGGTACCGTATTCACCGCCATCAATATATCGCTTTGGCCGAGGAAAGGTAGCGCAGCGTTTTGGTATAATCTTAAGCCTAACGGCGAGGGAGATTTCAAAACCAGACACGCGGCTTGTCCAGTACTTACGGGATCTAAATGGGGTATGTCGTTGAAATATCGTTTATTGTGTGCTTCTCGAATCGTGATTAATTATTTTGTTTTATTTTATATATTTATGTGAATTACATATATATTATTTTTTAAATTAAATTCTTTTATTATTTTTAAATTACATTATTACTCTAATATCGATATGTTTTTATAAATATTTAAATAGTTTATGAATAAATACATTATATTAAAAGAGCACAATTAAATGTATTGTTTATTATTTTCTAATTTATATTTATTACTTACAGTGGCAAACAAATGGCTGCATGAAAGAGGTCAAGAATTTCATAGACCTTGCACACTGGAAAATCAAGCGACGGATGAAGTGGACGTCAGGCACTGAAGAAAAGGACGTCCTTCGACTGTAACAGAAAATACGTAAAAAAGCGCGTGTACTAAGAAATACTTCCGAACTTCTGCTCTGAACAAAGAGACATTTTACTCTCGAAATGGTTACACTCCGTAAGAAAGCACGTGATACGAACCGTCATTTAAGAACAAACAAGACGTGCAAAAACTGTCAGCGCAATTTCACATAGGGTAAATGAAATCGCTGCTCACGTTTTTACGAAAACATCAATGGCACAATTTACGTAATTTAATGTTTATACATCGCAGACAATGATCTTTCTTGCTAGTTTATTGTGGAACGCGATTCCTCGCATTACGACAGCGATTAATGTTTCCTTAATCTTTGAAATATTTAGGTGAAAGAAAAAATTTGTGAAAAGCAACGGAGATTTTGTCCAAACAGAATTAATTGCAACCGTTTTGTTTCTTGTGCGCTTTTCCCTTTGAAACGGTCCGATATTAAGCAGAATGGATGTGCAAAGCGCGTATCGCGAACAAAATTTTATTCTTTATTGCACGGACGTGTTTTGTTTTTTAGTTGAATTAAATGCCGTTTGCTTGCGTCATCTTGAAGTTAGCTTTTACGGCGCAAATGTATTATTTTCATAGAAATATATTATATATATATATATATATATATTCTATCTGATTACATATATGCATTTTTTAAAAATCGCTCCAGGAACGTTCCAAACTTCAAAGCGCGCGCATGGTTTGTTACATCCACAGTTTTCACCGTTTTAAACGAGTTTTTCACGGTGAGATTATTGGGATTCGCTCCGTTGCGTTATCTGCTACGCGTAACATTAATTGTTTCTACAAGAAGATACTCTACACTAACATATTACTACACATCATAGCCAAAGCAATAATAAATTGCATACGTTTTGGCCAGTCTCCCCTTATCATAGATATAGCGTGATGTAGAACAGCGAAGAGCGCGATGTAACCATTAGCTCGTAGATTAATTGTAATTTGAACATGATCGTTAATGCGACCCTTACAGTCACGTTTCAGTAATACTAATATTATCATGCAATAATAAAGTACTTCCGCCGGGAGGATACTCCGACCAAGAATCTCCTTTCGTGACGGATCGTCGGCTGTAAATAACGATGGCGTATAATCCCGTATCATCCGATCTCTCTGATCGAATCAGATTGTATACGAATCGTTTGTATAAAAAAGGGAAGACAATGCCTACGACGATAACGCCGCGCTTCCTAATGGCGGTGATGTAGTTATATAAGAGTATATGACACGCTGTATTTACAAGGGATTGTTCTTTATTGTAACGGTATTTAAATTATGGTCTTAAGAAAGAAAAAGATATTACGGTCTGATATACATCCTGGGAGAGATAAAAATATATGCTATTGGGGATTTTCTTGAATCATACATATGTGCAAGAGAAAGTGAAAAAGCGAGTTTATTTGAAAAGTAATCTGGAAAATCATATAAAATTGCCAAATTTAAGTTTATTCTTTTTTCAGACATATATACTAAAAAATATTATAATGCACATTTATAATATTAATATTTATAAATAATATAATAAATTTTATTTATTTCTTACAATTAATATTTGTGTGCCACGTTGCATAATTGAAGCATAATACATAGCACTTTTATATGTTTTTATAAAAAATTTTCGAACTTTTATATTCAAATAGCGTCACGAACTGCACTTGACGTTGCGAGATAATTCGTATGTTGAAAGTTTGGGAATCATTACTCTATCGGATATAGACGATCATATGGATGGTTTGAATATCTAAAGAGAGAGTCGACTGTTAATATTTAGCACTAGCACACTGCACGGCAAATATAAGAAGCATTGTTTCTGAATTGGAAGGTTAGTGACAAATGTGCGCAAAGACTGGTTATGTGTCAATGGATTAGCACAATATATTACCATGTATACATGCATTACTTTAAAATTGTTTTGTATTGCACAATGATCTGTCATATTGTTTATTAAAAATTCCATTGTGATAGTTCTATGTTAAAATCACTCTTGTAATTCTAAGTTTCAAATTGTATAATATTTCAAAAATTAAGTTTTATGTTAAAAACGTATGTGCGTTCTTTTTCTTAATTTTTCAAAAATTATTTTTATGAAATTATACCTTTGTTAAAACAGTGAATGAATGATTCATTTGATTTTATATTCAAATGTATTTATTGCAATCTAGTATTGATTAATATATCATCAGCCTGATTGTTTTATAAATACTACATATCCTGCACACTCCTGATACTACATTCTATCTATGCATATTAAAATATTTGTTTTTTTCATCTCCACATTTTGTAATTTTTCATAAATTGGATATTATATATATGTTAAAAAAAATTTGTGTTTAAAACCTAAGACGTTTTCATCTTGAAATAGAAATTACTTTAAACTTTTAATTGTACAAGAAATATAGGTATCAAAATAGTATTTGAAAAAGTCATTAATGTGAGCTGCACAATATATTACCCCCAGGAAGATTTTGTGAAATATATTTTCTACTAATAATTTCTTGTATCATACTTTGCAGAATATTATGTCACCTCTAAATATATCACATATAATAAAATAATTATTAAGCATAAGCAGAGAAAATAAAACTAATAGCACTGATAAATGCAGAATAATCGCCTTATTAAATGCGAGCGACTGATATCTATCTAATTGTCATTACCATTGTTTTGTTAAAATAAAGAAAGTAAATAAAATGAAATACATCATAAAGAAATGCTTCTGAGAATCCAACAACAGAGCTTGCTATTAGAATTTATTTTTACTAAACTGTTTTAATTGTAAAATAAGTTAATGTTAAAATGTTGAGAGACTATGATTGTCAACATGTGTAAATTTAAATTGCAAAAAAGTCCATTGTGAAAGTACATAAAAATTTTTGTTAATATTTATATATATCTTTCGCATATATATATATGTATAAGCATTATCTTCATTCTTATATAAAACATTTGTGATAATCAATAACAGAAGTAATACATAATATAAATGTTATTTTTCACTGATTAGCTATAGTCAAAAGTTTTTAGAAAATTTAAAAAAGAAATATTTAGAAAAATATTTAAATTCTTGATTAAAATTAAAGTTTACAAAAATTTAAGTGGCTAGGAATAGAGGCATTAAAAAATATGGCAATGTGTATATATTTAGAAAGTAAAATGACTCTCTAACACAAGTAATCATTGTAGTAGACACAACATGGATTTGAAAATTTTATTATAATAACAACTTTATTATTATTATTTTATTAATTTTACTTTGAAAAATGCGTGTAACCAATAAAACGGATATTAAATAATCCTAAAGCTCTCTTTTAAATATATTTTATATATTTGTTATTATTACACATTATTATGTGTAACAATACTATTAATGTATAAAAGTACATTTTTTAAATACCTTTTTTATATGGCAATTTGATCGCCATTTTGGAATCAAGCAGTTGATTGACAACTCCGGAATTTCTTTAAAGGTACGTTCAAAAATTTTATCCGTGGATAAAGTGGCGTTTAATTGACCAATCAGAAGACAAAGAAATCTTTGTCCTGATTGATCAATTAAATGAAACTACTCCAACGGATAGAATTTTCGATCGCATTCCTACATTAACAGAAACGGTCGGTAATAGGCACCATTCCACCATTAATGCCGGGTCCAATAATCTCGGAATTGTTTATCAGCCGCTTTATATTCCAAAAATACATACGAATGGAATTTTCAAGTTATCAAATTATGCATTTGGAATATATATGTGATCGAGTTGCTGTATAAATGTAAGATTAAATATTTTTATACTTTAATTGTGTGGATCGCGCAAAATAATTTGAAGTAATCAGAGATTAGGATTTCTTATTATCGATTCTATTGAATGCCTGTATTTTTCGTAGAAAATAAAATATTCTAAATTTATGATGTCCGCCACGATGATTATTCGCGTGAATCGCTTTGCTTTCCACGTGTGCAAGCGCAATAAAGGAATCGGTAACCACCAAAGGTATGGGATTAGACACAATTCCGACCAAGTTGATGGCAAGACATTAGAACGTTTGAACGATAGAAGTATACTACGTGTAAGCGGCAATGAGGCCTCTGCCTTCCTGCAGGGATTAATCACGAACGATATGAAGCATCTCGCGGAAGGGGCATCTAATATTTACACTTTGTTCTTGAACATTAAAGGCAGAGTAATGTACGATGCTATAGTGTACCAGAGTGAAGAAAGTAATATGTATTACATAGAATGTGATTCGCAAGTTGTTGAATCTTTACAGAGACATTTGCAGTTGTACCGTGTAAGACGAAAAATAGATATAAAACATATAGGGGATAAAATCAATGTCTGGTCAATGTTCAATTCCACTAAACATTTTGTTAATGGAGCCACAGTGAATGAAAGTGAAAAACGCAAATTGGAAGGAATGATATTTCCATGTGGCACACTAAGTAATAGTAAAGCCAGCAAGTTCATCGATAATATTATAATATACGAAGATCCAAGATTGCCTGATTTAGGTCTCAGAATTTTAGCCGAATCGCAAATTGGCAAGCACGAAATAATCAAACATTTAGACTTTGATGTATCCTTATCTAAAAATGTCGGGAATTACAAAGCACTTCGATATAAATTAGGAATAGGGGAAGGTGTACATGATCTACCCCCTGCAAAAGCATTGCCTCTAGAGATCAATTGTGATTACTTGCATGGCATAAGTTTCCATAAAGGTTGTTATATCGGTCAGGAATTAACTGCACGAACATATCATACAGGCGTGGTCAGAAAGCGCCTGATGCCCTTAGTGTTTGATAATATCGTGGACAAACCGCTTCTGTATGACGAGAAAATTCTCAACGAGTCTAACAATGTGGTAGGAAAGTTTCGGGGATATATCGAAAAGTATGGATTAGGTTTAATGCGCATTAATGAATCTCTCAGTGCTCAGCAGCTTAATATATCAGGCATAAATATAAAAGTTGTTAAACCCACGTGGTGGCCTCAGGAATTTCAAACGGAAACAGTTTCTGCCAAAGATATAAAGTAACAGTTCAGCACATCCGACTAACACCGTGTAATATATCAACAAATTAATGTCATATAGAAAATCGTGATATATATATATATATATATATATTTACACACACACACACACACGTGTGTGTGTAAAAAATTATATACACATAAAATAAATTTGTTATACAAAATAAAATTGATAATATATATTTAGTGGATTGTATTCCTTGTTGCTTTATAGGATGGAAGATCTTGCTAGTACACCAGTGGATAAATCTGATATCTGCAAACAGAATACTTCTACGAGTCAACAAACGGCGGCAAATGTATGCGGCACTTTTACATGTTCTTTTTGTTATTTAAAAGAACGTTACGATTACAAAGGTGCAAAACCACCATTCGCTCGCCAATTGGTTTATCTAGAAGAATGTTATATTATGAAAGATCCATTCAGTTTACCAAACAGGGGTGAAGTTTTAGTCCTAGGCGCTGATTGCAGTATGTGCAAACGCAATGTATGCTTAGGATGCAGCATATTTTACACACAGCGTTTCTGTTTAAAGTGCGCATCCAATAACATGCAGAAATTACCACTTCAATTACATGGCAAAATCAACAATTTAATGAAACATTATGTAGATTCTTGAAAGTAATGCAATGTACTGCTTAAAGAAATATTGTTATTTATTAAACAGACATGAGTTACATTATAATGATACAAAGAAAAAGAATATATTTATATACATGCTATTATAGTTATTTATATTTGAGCCAATTCACAATTTTTATCTGAAAATTTTGATATCTTTTATAAAAATGCTGATATATATATATATATCTTTTTGTATTAAATGAACGCTATAAATCTTGTCTTTGAATATAAAATGTCTTATAACTGCATCTAAAAAAAACTATAAAATACATCTCAACATTATTGACTTAAACTTTTACTGGTTTATTCGATTGTGCTGTAAGCTTTTTTGCCATTTGCTTCTTCTTCTTATCCAGTTTATTTTCTTTCTTTTTATTTTTGGAATCTGCTTTTTGACCCAGAAATGAAATCAATTTTTGTTCTCCGGATTTTGCATTATTTTTCTGTGATTTTTTATGCTTTTTAATATTTGCTTCATTTTCATTCTGTAAAACAAAATGCGATATATGTGATATCAATTCCATTTTTCAATTCCAAAAAATTTTTAACAGAAAGTACTTACTTTACATGCTACAGGTTTTTCCAAATTATTCTTAAATTTTTTGCGTGGATTACCATCATTGTTATTTGAAGAAACTCGTTTTTCCCCCTTCTTGTTGTCGCCACTTACATATGCTTTTACCCGTACTGGTCGGTTCATAATCTCGACACCATCTAACTTTAGAGCCAAGACTGCAGAATCTTCAGTCTTGAAATTGACATAACCAAATCCTTTGGTTTGACCTGTTTGTTTATCACGTACTAAATGCACAGAATCTATCTCTCCACATGTACTAAAATGTTTCCAGATGATGTTCTTATCTATGCCTAGATTTGAAAAAAACATTAACTATTAATTATTTTTTCTTATATAATTATAAAATCAACAATAAAATCGACAATAGTTTTATACATACCAAACTTCAAATTTCCTATAAATACAGCTTTCTTACTATCCCATTCTTTTTTCTCAGGTTTATCAACTATTTTGACATGTATGTAATTTCCTTCAAATATTTTTCCATTCATACTAAGTGCCTTTTGGGCAGATTCTTGGGACTTGTAATTAATATACACTACAACTGTAGTTACTTTTGGATGAATCTGTTTTGTTATAGCAGCTACTTTCTTAGACATTTTTGTATCTTGGGGAATGATACCTCTAAAACGTAAATTATTAATGGGCCCAAATTTACTGAACACTTTTCTTACTTCTGTTTCTTTTGTCTCTTTTGGAATATTATCAATGAAGATAGTTCTTTTATCAATCTCTTCTTGTTCTTCAGAAGATAATTTCTTTTCCCCTTCTCTTACTTGTCTTTGTTCTTTAGGAATATCTTTGCTATTGGATGCTTTAGCACCTTTCTCTTTTGTAATTTTTACTACATTATCATTCTCTTCGCCATCTTCATCTTCATCACTAATATCATCATCTTCATCATCTTCATCTTCTTCATTAAAATCTTCATCATCATCCTCGTCCGCGATACTATTTCCTAAAAGTGCTTTTAAACCTAGTGTTGAATCCTCGTTCTCATCGTCATTGTCATCGTCATCATCATCCTCATCCTCATCTTCATCATTGTCACCCTCTTCGTCATCTTCTTCGCTATTCTCAACTTGCGGTTGTACACCTTTGAACATTTTTACACCCTTACATACCAATGTTTCTCTTTTAATATTGTCATCTTCATCGCTGTCATCGTCATCATCATCATCCTCTTCCTCCTCCTCTTCTTCAAAGTCCTCATCATCTTCATTGGACTCATCTTCTAAATTTTCTTCAATGATACGTAAATCTGAATTCTCATTTTTCTCGTCTTCCTCATCTTCATCATCATCATCGTCTTCATCATCTTCCATAGCAACTTGATGTAATTTTTTATTCTCATCATTATCTTTGGCTTTTGGCTTTACACCTTTAAGTACTTTTATACTTTTACGTTCAACCATCTCTCTTTTAATATCATTGTCATAATCATCTTCTTCCTCCTCTTCTTCAAAGTCCTCATCGTCTTCATCCGATTCATCTTGTAAACTTTGTCCAAAGATATCTGGGATATCAGTATCAGATTCTTCTTCATCCTCAAATGTTTCATTTAGACTAACGTCCTCTTGTAATATAATTTCTTCATCAATATCAGAGTCAGAATCATCAACTTCCTCCAACTCCTTTGTGGGTGTTAGGTTAGTTTCTTTATTGGCTGGTTTATTTTGTGCTCCAGTTGAAGGACTTTGCTTATTCTTTGCAGAATTTTGTTTCAATTGCTTTGCATTATTCTTAGATAAATTTTGATTATTCTTTATACCTGTACCTTTCTGGAAATTTTTCTGCGGTGATACATTTTTGTTCGGTGCTTTTGAGTTATTAATTAAAGCTACCTTGCCTGCTGGCGTATTTTTAAACTTGAGATTTTTGTCTTTTTTTACTGATCCATTTTTTATTGTATGCAATTGTTGCTTTGCATTCTTTATACCTTTGTTTTGTCCTGGTTTTGCTTTACCCATTTTCTCCAAGTTTCTACAATAGTATTATAATTATTAAGAAACTTATTAAAATACAAAAAATAATACGAGATGCGTAAGGACGAAAGAGATTCAGTTTTAAATATATACATTGTAAAAAAACTACACAAAAATATACATTTAAAGGTTACTATCCTTTTTTTATCTTTCTTTCAATATTTTTTATTTTAATCTCCCTAGGAATATTAATTGCTGCAATCAATGGTATTTTATATAATGCCTAAATTGCCGGAATTCTTTCAATGACCGTTATTGATAATATAAAATTCGCGCAATTATATCAATTTAGTATTAAGTTTTTAAAGCATTAGGAATAACAATAAAAGATTGCGACTGAGGCTCTTACTTTTATAAGAAAAAAAAAAAAAAACAGAAAAATACGAATATATAACGGAAAAATGAATTAAATTAGTTGAACTTGAGATCAAAATCCACGTGTAACGTGATAGAACAAAAGTATGTGCCAAAAAGCAAACCTTCAATTAAACGTACAAGATATTTCATTATAGAATATGAATAAATAAATTGCGATAAATTGCTTACTTTTCCTTAGCCGTTAAAGGGTTTCTTGGCTACTATTACTGTTAAAACACTTGAATTAGCTCAAACTATCACCGGTACAACGTACAAGCAGTAAAGCCAGCAAAACGAGGGAGAATGGAGAAATGTGCCGACAGGAAGACGTGCAGCAGCCATCAACGATTGCGTTCAAAAAACTGTCGGGCGATCAAATTTTGATAATCGACTTTGATTGTAATGTAGATGGATCTAAAAATACAATCGATAATTATAAAAACAAGAGCCTGTCCAGTAAATTTGCATATGTGATGAACTGTTAAATAATTTTTAAAAACAACCAAGCATAAAGAACCCATATGAGACTCTTTTGTGGAGGGAGAAGTTCATTTGGACACAGTGCGAAACGGACATACCACTCATATCGACCGATGCCTAGAATAACCCAGCACGATTGACCAATCAGAGAGACCAATCCTATTTTCAACTGGCCAATAACCATTAGCCGCGTTCAGCAGAGAAAACTGCTTAGTAGCAATCGAACGTGATTGGCTCTTACTTTTAGAACTAACAAATCAACATCCAGTGTTGACAAGACGATACTAAGCGTTTTCTCTGCTAAACGTAGCCATAATTTTCTGTGATGCAACTGCGATAAAAATGCTAAACAAACATGATAGAAAATTTATGAAAGCTTTCGCGTAATTTCTGTATGTAAAAGTATTTAAATTGTCGAACAAATCAATTTAAAAACAAGCGTGAATTTATTACTGCCTGAATTAATTTATGCACAATACACAATTGTTCGATGAGAATTAACCTGCAGCTATGTAACTGTGTAATTTAATATAACGTCAATTATAGAGCGCGAGAAAATGTACACCAATGTGCAAGCAAACGAACTTTTTCGCCATCACGAAAACTTTGGAAGAATTTAACGATTTCGTAATCGATGCTCTCACCTTATATATCTATTTGAGTGTAACAAATTTTGCACTCTATATCGATATTTTCTCGTTTATGCGAAAGTGAAATAATGGCTGTGTCAATAAATGAAATTTGCGAGAATACGAAACTAGCACGTGAAATGGCATTGATGGGAAATTACGACACGTCTAGCGTTTATTATCAGGGGGTTGTGCAACAAATACATAGATTACTCGCGACCATAGCAGATGCGACTCGTAAGGCAAAATGGCAAGTTGTACAACATCAAATTGTCGAAGAGTTCGAAAAAGTAAAGGCTACATCCAATACATTGCAACTTTTCAAAGTGGACACACATGGAGAAAGACTGCTTGGTAGAGAGACCACAATCAAGATAAATAAATTTTCTATTGTTAGAATGTGATGGCATAACAAATTTTTAAATTTCAGGAACATCTTGTTTATCATTTGAAGAACCAACACGAGATCCTGCTTTGTGGTCTTATAATTCGGAACCCTCTTGGAATCAAACACCAGCCAGAGATCCTGATGTATGGCCACCTTTAACCCCAGCAGAACAAAAGTATTAATATAAATCCTTAATATATTTTATGACTTTTTATGAATATTTTTAATATTTAAATTTCTTTTTTCTTTCTCTTTCAAATATTTCTATTTGCTTTTATTATATATTGTGCTATATGCTTAACTATGAAAAAGTAATTTAGCTAATATATTTTTCAGAAACTCAAAGCAGCAAAAGGTTCAACAGAAACAGCAAAATCGAACAAATACTAGAAAATCTCTTGTTACAACTAAAAAACCAGATAATAAGGCTACCACCAAAAAGGATGACAAGAAAATTATAAAGAAAGATGATACCAATAAGGTCATGCAGTTTGCAAAATGAAAGAAAGAGAGAAATACATATTTATATTTTAAGTTTTTAAAAAATGATGAATATTAATATAAATGAAAACTACAATAATTACAGGACAAGTCAGAGACAGAAAAAGATGATGTCGAATTAGAAGAACGCAAATTTGAACCATCTACTACTGATAAAGATCTTGTAGAAATATTAGGTATTATTATTACTGTTATTTACAAACTTATTGGCAAAAATATAAAAAACAAAAACAATTATTAAGATATTGATATTCAAATTGTAGAAAGAGATATTGTTCAAAAAAATCCAAATATTCATTGGGACGATATAGCAGATTTACATGAAGCAAAAAGATTGCTGGAGGAAGCAGTTGTGCTTCCAATGTGGATGCCTGATTTCTTCAAAGTATATCCCTTTCTCAATCTATCACAAATTGCAATAAAATTTCATTATATTAATATAAATGTGATTTTTAGGGAATTAGGCGACCCTGGAAAGGAGTACTCATGGTTGGGCCACCAGGCACAGGCAAAACTATGCTTGCAAAGGCTGTTGCAACAGAATGTGGCACAACATTTTTCAATGTCTCGTCCTCTACATTGACATCAAAGTATAGAGGTGAATCAGAGAAACTCGTTCGACTATTGTTTGAAATGGTAAGACAATATTTTAATAAAATGTTTAATTGATATCTAAGCAGATTTCTGTCGATTTCTCTAGAGAAATGTAACATTCCATTAACATTATTAATTTATATATTATGTGAACACACAGGCTAGATTTTATGCACCCAGTACAATCTTCATTGATGAAATTGATTCTCTGTGCTCTAGAAGAGGATCTGAATCAGAACATGAAGCTTCACGTCGTGTGAAATCTGAGCTTCTTGTTCAAATGGATGGAATAAGTTCCAATAGGTAAAATACTGTATGACATTTACTTTATTAATTATAATAATATAAGAGCAGATATCAAGTATGTTTGTTTTTTTTTTTTTTTTTTTTTATAGTGAAGATCCAAGCAAAGTGGTGATGGTATTAGCAGCAACAAATTTTCCATGGGATATCGACGAAGCTCTGAGAAGACGCTTAGAAAAACGTATTTACATTCCGCTACCTAATCGTAAGTCTTGATAAATTTTGGTTTCTCAACAAGAGAGAGATGCAATATATCCATAATATAAAATATATTTTCCGATTTCTTCATTTTTCAGATGAAGGTAGAGAAGCATTGTTAAGGATAAACCTTCGTGAAGTCAAGGTGGATTCATCTGTAAACCTAGCAGATATTGCAAAGAAACTCGAAGGTTATTCTGGTGCAGATATCACGAATGTTTGTAGGTGAGTGGAGAATTACGAAATAATCTATATACATTTTATAACATATTACTCGTCATTTTATCACTTAGAGATGCTTCGATGATGCTGATGCGAAAGAAAATTGCGGGTTTAAGACCTGATCAGATCAGGCAATTGCCAAAGGAAGAATTGGACTTGCCTGTATCTGCCGCAGATTTTGATGAAGCTGTTGAGAGATGTAATAAAAGTGTTTCCCAGGAGGACTTGGAAAAATATGAGAAATGGATGAGCGAATTTGGTTCCTCTTGATATCATTCTGTTAAGAAATAATAGCATAATTCATTGACACAAGATTGTTGCTTGTATGTGTATGTTGACATCATTAATATTATAATATTCTCTTTAACACATATGAAATGAAGAGCTTCTTAATCTTTAATCCTAAATCTTAAAAAACTTTATCATATTCTTTAAATACTTAAGACTTTAAGAAAATCAAATTGGGAAATAAGATTGCATGGTAGAAATAATAATAACTTGTGTAATATTTTTAATCTTAACCATAACACTATAACTAACAATAAGACTTAATTTGCAATAACAAATCAGTTGTAAGTAATGAGGCTTTTACTCAATATATTTTTATTGTGTGTCTGTGTGCATATATGTATGTGTATGTGTGTGATTAAATTTAAAAGTATAAATATATGCATAATAATATGCTTTTAAGAAACAATACCTCGATATATCGATTTTTTTTATATGCATATCCTATACATCTCAATCTTTTTTTGGAGCACAACCCTCTTTTCGTAATTTGTTCGTTTCTTCATCTATATTTTTGGAATCTTTTGGTGCTTTGTAATTGGTAACATGATCCACTCGTATTACCCTGCCTAAAATCTACAAAAGAAAAATAGATTTTTTTTATATTAAGATATTTTTATCATAACTTTGAGGAATATAAAATAAAATTATATATTGTGGAAAAAGGTCATTATTATTTTGCTATATACTTATTTAATATTGTCAACAAGTGAGAAAACAGTAGTATACAATATTACAAATAACAGTATATAATAGTTTACAATCTTATACTTGTGTTAAAATATACCTTTATACCATTAAAATTGTCAACTGCCAGTATAGTACTCCTTTGATCTTCGTAACACAAAAAGCCGTATCCCTTTTGTTTTCCAGTATCTTTATCTCTGATTAAGTTTATATTAACTACTTCTCCATATCTACAATATATATTACATTTATTTTGAAAAGACTAGTTGCCTATACAAGTGGTAATTGTAATTTATGTACAGATTTAACTTACTGAGAAAAGATAGCGATAATATCACCTTCTGTTAAATCATATGGTAAGCCACCAATGAAAATCCAAGCGCTATCTTTATATTGGTCATGCCAAGATGTTTTGTTGTTACTTTGCAATTCTTGCTCAGTGAGCTTCTTTATATTTTTGACATTACTAAAAATATAAGTTATCCATATTAGAGCAAATGTAATATAATTTTAGTTTTTCTGAATTAAAAATTTTATATATTTCGTCATGCTACGTGCGAGCGAGGAGAACGCAAGGGGCACGAAACAGAGTATGTCCTTTTCTACGTGGGCATCGGCCCCCACTCCTCAACACTCGGTCTAGACATACTATGTCTATGGTCATAATCAACCCTCTACTGGCGATGAATATCGAAACTCAGCCTTTGAAAAGTTTCTCGCAATAACAGCCAATCAATACGTTCGACAAAGATCGTCATTGGGTGCGTTCTATTTGACGCTGTAAAAGTATCATAACTTTTAATTGACTAATCAAAACAAAGAAGTCCTTTGCCTCTTGTGTGCTTGGTCTACTTTCGCATTCTGTCAATTTTTTAATCAAAAGTGATATTCAATGATTCGCACAAAACTATCGTTCACCATTGCAAGAGTAGCAAAAATGTCTTGACGGAGATTGAAATAAAGCACACTTTTCCCAACTTGTGGGATTATAGATTTTAAGTTAGGTTAAGCTTCCTTACTGTCACCGTCAAGGACAGTTTCATATCTACTTACCGGCAGAAACATTTTGATTGCGCAAAGGCATGTATTCTACGAAGACACCGACTCTTCGTATTGACGAAGCTGATTTGAAGTGCAAGAACGGTTGTGGATTTTATGGCAATGCGGAATGGGAAGGTTACTGCAGCAAATGTCATCGGGAACATTTGCAAAAACGACGCGCCCAGGCCGAACGCATATCTCATTCGCAAGTTTTAGACACAATATTTATTTATCCCTTAAAACGTCATGTTATATTTCGCTATGCTTCTGGATATAATGAAGATATATGAGCCAGCATAAACCGACATTAGCACAAATATAATATTTGATGTGTATTATTTGTAGAGTATTCACCATAAGTATTAGTTTTGTCCCTTAGATTTTTTCGCAAGGAACCCTTTTTAGATATTGACCATGAATTGAATTTTTAAGAAACTAAACTGATCAACTCTTTTTTCTTTGTAAGTTTCTAAATTTTAATAACAAAACATTAATTATATGATCAATTTAGCTTCTGAAAGACTCAAATGATACTGCAGATCTTTTGATGTAATATTTAGTGTAGTCTTCAATAATTACAAAATAACATCTTCAGTAAATAAATTATAGTAAACAAGCTAAATATTTTTATGTTTCTGGGATCTATATTTGCATGATAAAAATCCAAAAACATTTTTTATGTATTTTCACTCGTAGGCATTGAATATTGAGTAAAACTTGTCACTACAATATTTTATACAGTGCTCACTGACAGTATATGAAAATGCTCTCAATTTTATTTAGTCAATGGTATTTGAATATTGGTATTTGAAGAAAATCTTGCCATAGACTGAAATCAGTATGGCTACTTATGCGACGAATACTTTACAAATACTGTGTATAATATATATGTGGAGTAGTATACCAGATGGATCATTTTATTTGTTGTTGGTTTGCCCTTGATCTTTGATTTTTCTAAAACCTAATTAATTTTTGTTTTATTTACTTTTACTTTACATAATATTATTATTGTTCTTTTAGAGATAACATTAATCGATCAGTGAGTGCTGGAAGTCACAAGGAGGAGAAAAAGGTACAGCAAGAGAAAAAGTATAAATTGTTAAACATTTCGTTTAGGAAACCTACTGCAAAAGGTATTTTATAGTGATGCTTTATTGTAAACTACTATACACAAATATTTACTAAACATATATACAAGTTTACTTATTTCTTCATTATATGCAATGCATTAAATTTTAAGTTCAAGGTTATCAGGAATTATATCACGAGTTGTTAAAAGATAATACGGATCTCGAAAAAATTAAGGCAGAAAATCGAGATTTATTGTTATATATAGCCAAGACCCCAATAGAAAAGGATGTACGAAAGTGCATACATTCATTTGTAGTAGACATACTACAAAATAAAGATGTAAAAAGGATAGAAGAATTGTCAGAGATAACGCAAAATTTTTATCATGTGTTTGGAAAACGTCTAGAAAATAGCACCAAATATGCAGGTTTTGATTTGTGATATATGCCATATTTATTTAGCTCTGTAAAATAACTTGAAGATTTACCTATATTACGCTCTCTGTTACAGATATACCATCAGATATTAAAGAGAAGTTGTTAGATTATGTTGAAAGATATGCAATGACTTTGTTATACAGAATTCTTTTCTGCCCTCCATTCACATCTGATGAAGAAAAAGACTTGGCCATACAAAAAAGGTTTATATCATAAGTTAGGGGAGCAGCTTAAATTGCATCTATATTTAATATAAAAAAATATTAAATAACTTGTGTATGTATGTATGTGTACTTAACAGAATACGGCAATTAAATTGGGTTAGCGGCAAGAATTTGGAATGCAGGATTCATGAAACAAGCTCAGAAGTCAGAGAGCTTGTTTACACATCCATTACAGGTTTGCTATACTACTATGATATTAATTATTACAAATTCATGTAGTTTTGTAATTTGGTTCTATGTGCATGTATCTCTATACGCAGCGCAATATAATAAAAACTTCAATTTTTAGATCTTTTAAATATGGATTCTGCCAAAGCGCCTCAAGAGAAATTGGCATGTGTTATTCACTGCTGTAGAAATATATTTTTATTATTGCAACAATCTGTTGATGGACCAGCATCCGCTGATGAATTCCTTCCAGCACTCATATTTATCGTTTTAAAGGCTAATCCCGCCCGTCTTAAGAGTAATATAAATTTTATTACAAGGTTTTGCAATGCCAGCAGATTAATGACTGGTGAAGGAGGGTATTACTTCACAAATCTGGTATTTCAAATTTATTGAAGTGTTTTACATTTCCCAAAATAAAGTCATCTATATTATCAAAGTCTTGTCAATATTATTTTGAATAATTATTTATAATGTTATGTGCAGTGTTGTGCAGTATCATTTATCGAAAACTTGACTGCAGAATCCTTAAATATGGCTGAGAAGGACTTTAATGCGTATATGTCAGGAGAGTGTGTTCCAGCTAATACATGGGAATCGGCTCTTATGATATGCGAAGTAATATTTCTTTATGCATTGAGAATTTTAATTACTATATCGTAGATGTAATTGATGACATTTAATTATAATACAGAGTTTACACTTTATGTGTGAAGATATAACTTTGTTGGATGATTTGCAAGCTAAAAATGCCGATATCATGAAACAAGCAGAAGAATTGAAAAACAAAATGATAGAATTTAAAGAAAAGATTAAAGAGGATGTAAGTAAAGTGATTGAAAGGACACCATTGTTGATATCTCATAGTCAGAGAGTGCCTACTAATTTAGATAGCGAGGATTTTGAGAGCTATCAGCTTCCCCCGCCAATTATTCCGCAGGTGAGATTAGCTACAACTTTTATCTTTCAGTTTTTATAATGCACTATTTTTATCAATCAAACATTGCGAAATATTATTTTAAATTGTGTCATATAACAGATATATCCGCATTCAGTCGGCGATAACGTGAATAGCGGTGTAATGACAGATCTGTCAAGTGATCTGATGAGAACATCATTGGTAGAAGATTCCGTGACGCCATCGCCGACATTTGATTTTCCATCCCTTATTGGCGACGATAGCTTGGAAGTTAGCAAGGGCGAAGACGAAACTAGTCTTATCAGTTTAGATACGCAGTCCGATCTTGCACCTGGCGAAACACAGCTCTTTAAAAAACATATGATAGATAGTTTAATAGATGAATCTCCCACACCCGAAGCAAACCTATCATCTGTATTGAAGCCGATTAGCTCTGAAGATTATCATGGCTTTACAATTCAGGGATCAAATATACCAACAATACCATGCCATACAGGTGATTCATCTATAACTACAGCAGATTTAGATTCGGATAACTATTCCAATTACTATAAGAACATGTAGCATTGTAAAAATGTAAGTATTATTTATGTGTAAATATATAATATATAAAATATTTAATAAGATTTTAATTATAGTAGCCCTCATTTTTAGTTGAAATAAAGAAATTTTCAATGATTTAATCTTTATATCATTGAAAATTTCTCTATTTTCATTAAAAATTGCTACCATAATTAAAATTTTTAATGGTTCGTCTATATTTGAAAGGAATCTATTATATAGATATAATAAAAGAAAATAACATGCAACAAAATGATGTTTTGAGGAAGAAAATGCCCCTCCTGCTAAGAAAAAAGAAGAATGTGAAATGATGGGTCAGTTCTTTATAGCTGAACTGGCTGCACTAGTTCAGAGTTTATCTTTTTCTTTTCACATTGGAAGGAGAAAAATAAGTTCTGAACTAGTGCAGTCAGTTCAGGTATAAAGAACAGACCCGATATTACAACCAAATTTTTGTGAGAAAATCTTTCCTTTTTTTTTAAAGCTATATTTGATTTAATATCTTCTTGAAAAATAGTAAAAACAATAGTCAATAGAGATTAAAAAAGTTACCATTAAACACTTTTTAATATAATACATATATAAAGTATATATTTCTCCTTCAATGTTTAAAACGTTACATGGTTAAAAATATTTCACATCTTGTACTTAGATCATCAAGTATAATATTTGTAGGATTATATATTGGATTATCTCTTAAATCTAAGCTTAATAAATTTTTATGTCGTTTTATTAAGTTTATTATCTCCTCTATACTTGTTAATTTATTATTTCTTAAAGAGAAAATTTCGAGATTATGTAGAGTAGGAAAATGTTTCAACGATGTTATGCCATTGCTAGAGAGATACAGTCTTGTACATCGTTGTAATGTAGAAAACTGATGCAGAGAGTTCTCCAACTGGTTCGCATCAAGGTACACATGCTCAAAGAAGCTAAAGTAATGATTATTATGTAATTTAGTTAAATCTAATCCCGGTAAATCGATTTTGATCCGTATTTCCATATCGCTCTCCCCTTTCCATATTTCAAGCAATTTATATTCCACCAAGAGTTTGCTTCCTAAAATTACAATAGAAGTATATTTATATGAAAAACAAATAAAAGATAAATAGAATCGATAAATTTGTTAAACTCAAGAGATTTTAATATTATATATAAATATAAATATATTAGGCCCGATTCCACAACTTACTTTAACCGGAGTTTAACTCGTTAATGGAGGATTCACATTGCATTACTTACGCAAATCTTTATAGTAATTTTTGCGAAGACTATCGATTTTCGATAGCGCCGTTAAGTTATTTAATATATCAACATAAAATTTTTTAAAATCAATTTTTTTCATCAATAATATACCAGTTAATAAGGCCCATTTATTATTTGGTTCCATTTTGGAAAGCTGATTATAACTCTTTAATTGTTCATTTAATTGTTCGTCGTTGCTATTTTGTCTGTGCAAACTTGAATTATCTTTGTAAATCCATGCACTTTCTATTTGTGAATATGAGAGTTCATATGTGGTTTCTTGCAATTTTATAAAAACTTTCTTGGCATGATCCAAATTCTCCAATGGATTTACAAATCTTGCAATTTGTAACTTGGCAAACTTCTCATCTGGATATAGCTGCCATTGTACATCAACAGCTTCATTATTGACATATAGTGAAAGTGAAACTGGTTTAATCAGTATATTGTTGTCAATAACAATGATAGCGGTATCTTTATTAACGAGAGCACGCCACAGTCTACAAGTTGTCATGCACTTATCTAAAAGCCATCTTTGGTAGAACCATGCACTGGTGTCATTTGGATCAGTAAAAGTTGCATTCATGACAAGGTCGAGCTCTGAAGAATATTATTCATTATTATTTCAAAAGATAAAAAACATGAAATAATTTACAAAGAACTTACCTTGTCTATACTTTTCATCTACGATTGGTATCTCCTCTAATGTGGTGCCAAACATTTTGTATAATATTCGACTTCTATAATGCCAAGACGAATAGTTTGAAAAGTTATTTAGTATCTTTGTGGTGGAAAATTCAAATTCTTCTTCATTAGAGATCCCAGCTTTTTGCACAATAAACTCTCTGTAATCCCAGCAGTGAACTATAATAAAAAAATGTCTCTTCAGATATGTTAACTTGTTTGAAGAGCAATATTGCATTTGTATTTCTATGTGTTCATATATGTGGCATATATATATTGCACATACAGTAAGATAAAAGAGACATGGTATACTAACAATTTCTTTCATCAATGTTTAGGCATTTTGCACACAGTGATAATTCTTTCTTCCAATCAGGTTCAGGCATTTGTTCCATCACCCAACATCTTTGGTGCCACACACTATATGATTTAGGATTTTCTTTAAGACAGTTTTCAGTTAAACTCATCTCGTTTTCAAGTAATTGCTTATAATCTTCATCACTCCTATACATTTTCATTATTGAATTAATTTCTGCTCACTATGGGTGTTTTCCAGCAAAGTACACAGATGACACAGTGTAACACAGTATCACACGATTGGCTATCAAACACAGAATTTTAAATTTCTTCATTTGACAGCCAATCATGTGGTATTGTCTGTTACTCTGTGTCATCTGTGTACCTTGCTGGAAAACACCCATTAAATCAAACATCTTATTGTAACGTTACCATTTATTATTCTGGAAAGCTTCACGACGAATATTCCACAATGTATAAATATCCGAATTATTTAATAGCATACGCTTAGTAATTAATAATAATTCATCATCCCATATTTTATCTTTCCTCTGAAATACAAACGATATGATAATCATGTATGAGAGAAAATTGCATGTAACGAATCACAGATATGCAGATAAGGAATGAGTTTCAAAACCTTTTGAAACACTACAGCAATATCGGCCTTGTATTGGGCGACTTTGGCCGCCTTTTCCCTTTTTTTTATCTCCTCCTGTTCCGCTGTAGTACGCACTTTTACTCGACCATGCTAAAAATATATATATATATATGTATTTATTTATTCATTCTCTTCAGACATATATATGTATATATATATTAAATACGAACAATAACGAGATATTGGCTATGATTACATAGCACATATTCATAAAGTAGCGCTTATATTTATTTCATATGCAATAAAACAATATCTTAAAATACTGATAACAGCGTACAATCAATGAATTAATCAGTAAAAAGCACAATATATAATTTTTTATATTACTTTACCATTATAGATACTCTTCTTATATTCGTACAGTAAATCGTGAACAAATCGACTAGTTTGACTGATGATTACGAGTATATTCCATTTGACGTTACAAATGTTTTGAAGCGTTTGATTGACCAAACAAAAGAAAATTTCTTTATTCCAATTGCCAATATTCTATGTCTGAATTACTAGTTTGTAGTGACCTTTCTTCTTCTTCTTTCTTTTATGGCTGGTTGGGCATTAGTCGCCCATACACCATTGTTTCTTATGGGTTTGTAGAATATAAGCAAAACTCCTCTAAGAGAGGAGGGAGTCCAAAAAAAGGTCCAGACAAAGGACATACGCAGCACGCAAAAACACGTCCGAACCCGACACGTTGTCAGTCGGAACTTGGTTGTAGTGACTAGTGACCGATTATTAAGCCTTAGACATATAGACATATAGACATTCCATATGTTTTGTATTGAGCACTTATATTTATGAATTATGATCCAATTTATTTCGAAGTGACGTTTGATTGCACCATTGCCAATTGGCCAATGCAAAATGGGACTCTCTGATTGGTCAATCATTGCTGGTTATCTTAGGCACCATATGAGTAGTCACGGGACGCTCTCTATTGCATCTCACAATATGTCAAATACTAGCTTTAGAGTCGCATGTGACGTCAGGACACAAGCGATGAGCGAGATTCGTGCATTAGAAATGGCATCATCCACGGTGGCAGCTGCCACAATACGAGCCGTGAAAGGAAGAAAGATTCTTCCAACTCGCGCTGCGCTTACTTTGGTCAGCATATATTACAAATTAGAGATTGTTTTTTAAACTTTTTCGCAAAAACTGCTGCATATTATTTACACACTTTACATAATTTACAGACTGAATTCGAATATAAAATGAAAATATATAATAAACTTAGAGAAAAGTATATTGCAAAATATAGTATTAAAAACAAGTTTTAAGTTTTTAAAAATAATAATTAGAATCATTTATTACAACAGATTTTGCAACGTATTTAGTTCTTGTTTTTTGCGTAGTTATATTATTTCATAATATATTGCAACATTACATTGATGGATAAATATAACCTTATTTTCATGGGTCACTTTTATATAAATATTGATGAAGAAGATGTCTTATATTTTAGACTCCCAATGCTGTCAATAAGATTAAAGATATTTTGAAAGACAAGAATGAATATGTAAGTACTTATATATGTATAATATTTTTGAATTACATAATAACATTAAAGAAAAATGTCTAATTTTATAACTGAGATATGTTTATAAAGACATATATATATAAGTTTTTTTGAATAAATGTTCAAACTTTTTTCATATTTAATATATTAAAATAAAAATATTATATATATATATATATATATTTATAGATTGGTCTTAAGGTTGGAGTACGGCAGCGTGGATGTAATGGTTTGAGTTACACTATGGAATATGCGAAAGAAAAATCCAAACTTGACGAGGAAGTAATTCAAGATGGTGTTCATATATTTATCGATAGAAAGGCACAGCTGTCTCTTCTTGGAACAGAAATGGATTATATCGAGAACAAATTAAGTTCCGAATTTGTATTCAATAATCCAAATATTAAAGGGACATGTGGATGTGGAGAAAGTTTCTCAGTGTAGTGTAATTATGTGAAATTGTAATAATATTGTGAAATTTATTACTATAGTTGATATGTAATTATAATCTGTTTAGTTAAATTATGAACTTTAGAATACTCTGTATTATATGACATTATAAATTCGTCTTTCATCAAAAGACAAAGTTTTGACAATGCAAAATAGGAATTTGTAACAAAATTGTTATAAGTTACTTTATCATTTGTTGCAAATTTTGTATATATACCACCCATATACTTATCACACTTTTCCATAATTAAAAATAAATATTTAATTAATATATATTATGTTTTTATTTTTATAATCTAA